AATTGCACGTGGCGACAAGACACGGATTGTAGTTAGCCTCAACGATGATTTGAAACACATGATCGTGCGCGTGGCGCATGATACACCGATGGCCGATTTCTTTGGCTATGAGAGATAGATAACAGCATGTGAGTTGCACTGTACGTGAAGACATGCAAAGTCTATCAGCGTGTGTAGAGCGCACAGCACACGCGAATGCCACGGCAGAGTCTCCATTTTTTTATCGACAATTTAAAGTCAGTCGCTCTGGACTTTATCTTCGGCTTTCCCGATAATGCTGATGGATACATAGGAGTGCTCGACTTCCTCGACAGACTCAGCAAGATAGCTCACATCGCTCCATGCAGCGAATGCATCGATGCCAAAGGTTCATCTAGATTGTTTGTTGACCACGATTTTTCGCAATCTCGGGTTTTCAGACGCTATCGTCTCTGGTCGTAAAATATACGGTCCATGAGTGGCTTTAGGCAAAAACGTTTTAGACCCTGAGCATTCCCTTGGATATGTCTAGGGTTTATCCGGCGTTACGCCCGGGGACTGATGGGCAAACAGAGCGTGCCGACCGAATGGTCGGTGATGTGTTAAGAGCTTCTGCGAGGAAAATCGCAGAATGAAGTTCCTTGTTACAATTGGTAGAGTTTGCTCCGAACAAATCTGTTTATTCATTCGCTGAATTTACGCCATTTTTTGGGGCCATCAGTTACTGCTTTGTGGGATGGGTGGTGTCTCTGGTGTTAGTGGGGGAGAGGCTCGGCGAATCGCTGCCGCTCAAATTGACACAATTGATGAAGCAAATGTAAAGCTTAAGTTCAAGGAAGCCCCGGACCAGTTCATCATAGGTAATGTGAATGTTATCACATGTGTGCGTGAGATGCCATGACAGATATACAAGATTTACAAAAGAAATGCAGATAGACGAGGTTGTCAAGGCAAAATATATTTCAAAGTTGGGGATGATGTTCTACTTAGCCCTAAGACTCCATCCGACGATGCGTTTTTGAGATTGGGAAGCTCGAGGCTATTAACTCGCTTCATCAGTCCATCTCGAGATGTGTCATACCAGGGAAATGATTACACTATCGACCGACCGAGCTAGATAAGGACACATCCAACGTTCTACGTAGGGCACCTCAAGCTCTATTATCGTACTGACGCGACTATATACAAAAATGTAGCACAGGTTATTCGGATATGGCTTTAAAGACTCACCTTCGGCACGAGGGTCAAAATAAGAAAACCTTGGCGTCGTCACATCAGCATCATCGTGAGTTTCGGAGCCAAACAAATGATCGCGATGATCGGAACGTCTACACGAAAAGATGGCTGCTGATTGCGTTTATGATTACTACTAAAAGAATATCCACCCGATCCAGAGCGAAACACTGGGCAGAAGGCTCCGCATCATCAGCGGTAGCAGCCGCAGAGGGAGAATTTACAGAGCCTGCTTCACCGTCGAGTCTGATTCCTTATCGCATCCCCTGGCTAGTTTCATGACACCATGCCAGATCGTGAACTTCGCAGACGATTTGTCAAATATCCTTCACGCGTTGTCGCGCCATCTACACCCGATCGAGCACCTCAATCATCTGACGGCTCACCATGAAAAATAGTGTCTTCTTATGGTCAAAGTATTTTCAAATTAGACTTAGACTGTGAGCAGCCATAGAAATTGCAGTGGGGACGCCCTCTTCAAGCACCCCCCCCTCTAAACGATCGATTGGGATATCGATTGTACCATGTCGAGAACGTGGATGCGGAGAGGAACGTTTATTGAATGCACCAAATTTTAGCGCATCTTCCATATCGGAGAGAACCTGATCCTGCGCTGTTTATGGGGCAAACCTAAAGCGCATATCGCAAAGCTGCGTGAATGCATCCGGATTTAATTAATCGAACCCATGCCCAAAATCGAGTGTCGATTGTCTAAACGGAATCTAGATCGGATTGCAAGATGTACGGGACGTACATGAGACTTCGTGGGTCTCCTCCAGCACAAGTTATCAATTCAATGGCGAAGATATACGCGGTTTGAGTCATCACTCGAGATTCAATCGATTAAAGTGTTTGTCAAACTCTACGGTGGTACAACCACGTCGGTCGTGAAAGTTGTGATGACAATAAAATTCACGAAAGCGCAAATACACTAAAGGACTGAACGCGCTGTTGGGCTAATATAACAATCGTCATCCGCCCAAGCTGGTCGTTTGATGCCAGGATTTGGCTCAACTTGGGAAAGCGCTGTTCGGCGGAGTATGCCTAAGATCGATAATGGCAAAGAAGCCTTCGCATCCTCGGATCGAGGCGCGGTTTTGCTTTGTGCTTGTCGTCGACAAAAGTCGTCTTCGATGTGTTTCATTTCGTGTGGAATCACGAATGACCGAGTATCAGAGTCGTAGAAAGTTTGAGGATAATATGTGCAGCAGTGCTACCGTAGCTCTTAGATCAGAGGAAGCTTACTAAGGTCACCTACCTTCCGTTCTTTACCTGAACTAGTACGAGTATTGCGGATCGCAATCCGCTACATCCAATAGTACTCAGAATCTTAACCCAAGAATATTACCCTTCCGCTCAAAATTGAAACTTTATTTACTTGTTTTATTTGCGGCAGAGTCGCCTAGATATAAAACCATGGGTTTTCTCAGTTAAATAACCTAATTAATACGCATAACTACTGGCAGTCCCGCCACATAGTGGCTTCGTGTTACGGTGTAGTCACACCTTTGTGTAATTATACCGTCTTGTGTAATCCACACCTTCGTACGTCGCACTATCTTGTGTGACCCACCCTTTCAGACCAGGATACGTGTAACCAGTTACACTTTCCCCCATCAAAATTGCGAATACCCACAATTCACATTTGACTGTCGCCTCGTACGAGCAAGCGGAAAAAGAGAGCCTCTATTGTAATTGCTATTTAGTTTTCTCTGTTATTCACGCAATGCATATACTTGGGTGAGCTTTAGACTATTACCCAAGACATACGTACACTATCTATCTTCAAAAACTGGCTTACTGTCTGACGTGCGGATTACAGCCCACGTATATCACAACCCTGGAGTTCTCATCTTCATAAATGAATACAAAGTTCTCAAAATGCACAATTATTCAAAAGTGTAGATGACATTTGTACAATTGTACAATATGTAGTATACCAAAGTATAGTACTATGTGAGTCATTTATCACCTTACTACTATTGTTAGATTTTGAGCGAAGCTGAAATTCTGATTTTTATTGCAATTAAACTTTAACCCTTTAGAGATCTATTTTAAATTTGCGCAAGACCTAAAATGGCTGATTTTGAAAACAAATCAAGGTACAGTATGATTGTTCTGAGCCCATTCTTTCTGTGCAGAAGATACAAAAATCATGCTAGAATGAAACAAATCACGACAATAATATTGAGTAGAAGATACATTTATAGTAAGCACATTAATATTTTATAATCACGACTAATGGAATTACATTATGGATTCAAAGAGGTGAATAATCGCTGGAAGGTCCAGCTTTTCTCTTTAAATGCTTGTCATCCTTCCATTTGCTTCCCTTACAGTCGTCGCGATCTTTGCCTGTCGCTAACACAAAGTCGGAGTGGCCCAGTTGATTTGCCGGATACATCCTGAAGCTTATGCAGTGGATCCTTTGGATCTTCCGAATTGTTGACAAAGAGAAACTGTAAACAACCTGTTAAGACATCACGTTTTTTTTTAACTTTAGTTTCAATGCATAACAATTGAAAAAGCTTTACAATATATCTATCAGTATTTGCATTTCACCGAAACATGCACAGATGGAGAGAGGCATTTAAAACTGTGCTGTGGTATGGTGATAGAAAAAAAAGTTTTCGAGACGTGGTGCTAAATTTTTTTCGTGTCTTTGAACACAATAATGGCAGTAAGCATGCTTTGGACCGGGCGCCGTTACGTTACGCAAGCCCTGAGTACAATTGCTAGAGGGATATGCACAATTTCCTGTAGCGATATTCTTATGCTTTTGTTAAGTAGTTCTTATGGATTAAGATGTCTTAATTGTTGACTATAAGTCTGTTTTTCCGTTTTCTGCATAAAGGGCGAGACAAGGTCAGAAAATTATCGAGATGATAGTCTACAAGTCCTTCTTGTCCTGTATAGCAAATTGTTTAGAAGCTGAACTTACGAAAGAAACCGAAGTATTTGGCCCAATCCAGGGAGCTAAACAATGCATCACACTGTGATCTCAATAAACGAAAGAGCCTTTTGCAGTCTGGAGTGAAGAGTGACTTAAGGGAAATTGACAAATGTTCTCTCTCATGGGGGAAAGAGGTCGTAAAAAGGTCGCTTGAACTATTGTACAGCCAAACCACCAGGACTACGATAAGATGGGAGATGAATACAATGCATGACCTCTTTTTTTTTCTCTAAGTAATTCCAACATCCAACGACAAAAAGGACTTCTACTTCATCAAAGTGCGCAGACGCACCGTGTAAACGTCCAAATTTTGCCCGCGGTCTGTTTCATCTTGTTCATCTGATCCAACGCAGAAAGTACCAGCTTCAATACAAACATATCTATGTAATAGGCTTGTCACTTTGGTTCCTTATTAGTGAAAACAACGCGGCCAACGACTTGTATCTATCAGATTTGACTGCATCGTCACAGAAACGAGTAGCATAGAGGTGGTATGTTAGAAATCTACAACTAGCAAGTTGGGTACAAGCTTTGATATATCGGCATATATCTTTTGAGAGAGATTTCTAGAAATCACTGGAATGGTCATCACTTCGTCAGTTTTCTCGTAAGGTTTAATTTTACTAGATAAAGTGAGTGTATTACCTTTTTTGTTATGCTGTCTTTCTAGCCAATTGTTTAGTCTTTGTGACATGCGTTTGTGACCAGCGTCAGTGCAGCTTTCATTCAATAATAAATATCTTTTTATGATTTCACTCGTTCGCCATGCATCATTCAAAAATTTCAGTTAAGCTCATTCTTCGTATTTCGTTCTTACCAACATAAAAACTCTCTGATGCGTGTACGATCGATCGTTGGGTTATCTACCGTTGCAATTCTTTGCTACCCTGAGCTTGTCCGCGTGGTAGCGACATCGTCCATTTCTGGTGAGCGTCGTGAAAGTACACATTTGAGAAGGGGCGTTCAATCAGCAACGGATCAAGTCCAATCTCTTTCCGAAGAACGAATGCAGATAAAAGGAGGTCCTATAGCACATGCTTTGGTGGACATCGAAATGATTGCAAGGTGGTCAAAGACATATCGGAAGGCACAGGGATTCAATGCGAAGGGCTGGTTTAAATCATTTGAAGCTACGAAGCTTAAGCAACTCGAGATTTTGGGAAAAGAAAAGTACTTTGCCGTGATGGAGATGGAGAGACTTCGCCTAGGCGAGATGGTGGAATCGAACCTACTTTATCTGGCTTGTGCGCAGCTCGACGAATTGCTCGATATGACTGAAGCAAAAACCTTTTTGTCGAGCGCAGCGTTCGATACATAGTACTCTGATCTCAAGGAGCTCGTCGTACCCGAGAGTAAGCTTTACCGGTCGGGCTTTGGCGGAAAGCAGGACTTGGATGATAAACAGGTCTTAATTGACAAGCAGGTCTTGGATGACAGGCAGATCCTGGTTGAGAATCTAGCTTCGTCTATCAACAAGGTTGTGAGTGATCTTAAGATGTTGGCTGCCAAGCAGGTCATGATTGAGAAGATAGTGGTCGATATCAATAAGTTTATTGATGACAAGGTCTTGTCTAACAAGCAAGGCTTGGTCCAGATGTTACGCGATACTATCAAGAATACCTTGGATACAAAGCAAGTCTTTGATGACAAACAAATCTTTGATGACCAAAGAGGCTTGATTGAGCAGCTCGTTTTGTCTATTAAGACGGTTTTGGATGTCGATCGCTTTTTTGACAACAAGCAACTTTTGGTTCAGCAGCTAATCTTGGCTATCAAGAAGGTCTTAGCTGACAAGCAGGTCTTGGCTGGCAGGCAGGTCTTTACTGACAAGCAGGCCTTGAGTAACGAGCAGGGTTTGGTTCAAAAGCTAATCTCAACCTTCAAGCAAGTCTTTACTGATAGGAAGGTCTTGAACGACAAGCAGGTGTTGGCTGAGAGGCAGGCCCTAGTTGAGGAGCTACTCGTGGATGCTAAACAAGGTGTGACTGGAAAC